ATCTTTGAGGCTCTGGTTCAGGCTCAAAGCAAATTGTCCAAATTTATCTCAATGTGTCACAGAGAAGCAATACCCTTTTTTTACCTTTGTCTTGGTCTCTTTTCTCCTCAGCCTGGCAAATCTTACACATATTTGTTCCCTATTAAAAAAAAACAAACACACATACACTTCACACAGTAAAAACTCCATCAAATAAGCAGTGATGCTTGGAGAGCAGCTTGGTATGGTCATCCTGCAGGATGGCTCTCACACCACTCTGCCCTCAAAAGAGCAGTTAAGGGTTATCTGCTGACTCACCATCCCCTCACTGTCCCAGTGTGATCTTGAATTGGATTTGGCATTTACAGAGCAAACACCTCAAAGTATTTTGCATACATTTGTTCCCTATGTTTCGAGTGTCAGCCTCTGTTTTCTTCTTTTTATTGCAATGACACAAACAATTTTGGTTGGCTTTTGTTGTTGTTGTTGGGTGGGTTTTTTGGGGGGGTTGGTGGCATAATTTTGTTTGCATTTTGGATTTTGTTTTTTTTTCAAAATACCATATTGTCTCCTAAAACTTCATTGCTTCCAACGGCTTATTCCCCACCAATTACAAAATTAATATCACTTGTTTATGACAATTTCCACAGCAACCAATATAATTTCAGAGTGCTGTGACTTCAAGTGGAAAATAAGCACCATAAATTCATGCAAATGTCACCTGTTACAAACAAAAACAAGAGACAAGGAAACAGAAATTCACATGTGAAACAGGAGTGTCAACATAGAAAGCACATCAAAGTTTCAGGAAATAGTACTGCATTCTTCCTACAATAAAGATGTCAGTTCAGCACAGAAAGCTTCCAGCTGAGCACAATGCTCTCAACACCCATAAGTCAGATTGCATAGCAGATGCTAAATGTAAAATCCATTAAGACCAATTAGATTCCACAGAAGAAAAAAATAGTAATAGCACGCATGGGCAATCTTGTGCTATACAACAATACCAAGAGATACAGTAAACCACAAAAAAAAAAAAAAAAAAAAAGCCAAACAAACAAAAATAAAAACTAAACAAAACCCAAAAATAAAAACAACCAAACAAAAAACCCTAAACATTGTGCACCCTTTTCTCACAAAGAGGCCAGCTAACAGAAGATATTTTATAGTGCCTGCAGTCACATGAAGAAGCAAGGTCTCCTGTTTCCAGTTAGAAGGAACTTTAGTAAAGGCCATCACCTACTGCACACCAACAGGTTATTAATACATTGTCCTCTACAGCAGTTTGAAACTAAGCAGCAAAAGAGTTTTAGCCTCTTTCCCAAACTCCATATGAATTGCATGTTACACTAACCACTAACCTGACCCAAGTCGTCCTCACGTGTGTTGAAGTGAGAGCGTTAATAACATGGTACCAGGCTACTGGGGGGTAAAAACAAACAAAAAAAGGAAAAGTTTGTGTTAGACTCTGACAGAGCCTTTTCACTACCATGTAAAAGTTTACTCCTTTTATTGACCATTAGGAGATGGGAACTGTAATGGACACATGGAACAGATGTGCGAGCACTTTTCAGAACTAAGCCACCAATACAAGATGCACGGTAAATTCTGGCCATAGACTTAACTGTGTACTCAAATGAAGATGTCACTGCATGCATGATAGCTTGAACACCACTGGGGGCAAAGAATGTAAAATTTTTTTAAAGGATTTATACACACCAAGAAGGAAAGTCTGGTTTTGTATTTGTCAGGACATGTTACCAAAGCCTGAAGCATTATTTCCTGGTAAACAATTTAAAACAACCTCTGGTTTTCCAATCAGAATTAGTCTGCAGTAACTAATCCATCCCTAGATATTAAGCAGTTCATAAATTAGTTAACTCTATATGCAGTATCCCAGGTGAATTTGATCTGCTGGAATATTTAAAAATATAAAATAATTTCCATTTTATTAGAAAAGTGATAGATGGTATTTCAACTCAAAAAACCTACTAAAGTTTGAGAGATAATAGAAACAGACCTGAAAACTGTTTCACAAACCACAGATTAAACCTCTGGCCTTCAAATATTCCTTAGCAGCTCTTGGTGAGAAACTTAGCTACTTTTGACCTAAGGAAACAGGCAGAATGTATACATCTCCATGTATGTTTCCAATCACTTTGCTATCTGCCATTACTAGGAACCAGAACTGTCCACAGCCCTCAGGAGAAACGGTGAAAGAGAAGTTTATGTGACTGCTATAGGCTTGCCAACCAACAACTAATACAGTTGCTGCTGGTTGCAGAAGCTCATGCTGTGAATAACAAATGCAAATGCAGGAACAGCTTTTTCCAGTGGGACATAAAACGAGGTTTCTTCTCCACTAGCACCAAATTAAGCCTCAGGCACTGGCCAAAACTGGAATAGGTTCCCTAAAGTCTTTTGTCTTGATATTTTTTTGTCTGTAAGACACAGTCCAGGGTTGTACATTCTCCCTGAGAGCTCTTGAAATCATCAGCTTCCCAAACAAAACTGCCTCCTTTATGGGGTTCATGGGGACATTTGGCAAATAATGAATTGAAAAGCAACTGCTCTTCTCCTTGTGTCATAAGTCTTGCTTGTGAGCGAGGAAGGAACATGATCCTGGTTAATGTTGTTGGAGAGCCTACAGCCAGTAATCCTGACCCATTCTCCCACCCCTGATGCAGAGCACTAAGGCTTCTAAGGTTTGCTCTCTCTTTGCTGGACTCTTGTGCAGCAGTCAGGCAAGGCAACAGCAAGCACCCAATCCATCCCGGGTATCTTATAATTATTATTATAATAAAGTATTCTTTTAACCAACAGTCTCTATCAACTGGGCATCTAGTCAGGTTTAAAAAAGAGAAAAAAAGAAAACAACAAAAACCCCTAAAGTATTTACTTCTGGCACTGTGTTTCGCATATTTCTTTTCCCACTTCGGTGATTTTCTTAAATGTTGTTCCCATCTTGCTGTATCTCAGAAAAATCTATCTGATCACCAAATAATGTACAAAGTTGTTATACAAAAAGGTTTCTAAATGCATAACAAGCAACAAAAATTAAAATATGCTCGACATCTTTTCAGCCTACTTTTATCTTGGCCATGTTTTGCACTCAGAAGTAAAAAACAAACCACAACAACCAATCACCAAGCCACCCAAAAACATTAAGCAAAGACAAATTTTCAGTTAACAATTCATTTATCAATTTCTGTAATTAAACAACTGTTTTACTTTTAAAACATCAGAAACTGGAGTACTAAAAACCAAAACAAAAATCATGATGTACAACATCCAATTCACCCCTGGCATTATTCCACATAAATCAGTGGTATTACACCAGGGATTAATTTGGAACACTGATGTGAATTAGAGGACTGTATACAGCAACCTCATCATGACACACACACAAAAATAACTAAAACATTATGAGTATCACAAACGCACACAAATAATTATGCACCTACAAATCTATTTCTGAGCAAATGGAACAGACTATTTCATAGTCTTGATAATAATAAGGAATTTCTACTATTCAGAAAATAATTACATCTGTTTTTCCCTGAAAAATTATTTAACAATATAAAATACTTGATAGTAAAATACTTAATAGAAGTCCACCGAGGAGAATGTGAAGCTCCTCTACAGCCCAGTTTTTACACATCTTATTGAAATATGACCAGATATAAGTTATGCAATGACTCTTCAAACACTGTTTTAATATTGTTTTCAAGATTATCTAAGTAGTTCAGTCCGCTCAGCAAAGGGTGGTAACCACCTCTATAATATATAGCAATATAAACTATGTAATTAATTTCTCCTCCCAGTAGAAAACCATTCACACTTCCCTCCTTTTTAAGTACTGTGTCTAAGTCCAGTTTTGCATGCAAAACAAGTTGCTTATGTTCAGCTGCCCTACTACTGAAGTTAGTTAGAGGCTGCATCTCCCACCTCATCACAGAGGCAGGCAGATGCACTGACAATTCGTCCCTCATGCGTTTAGGGAGCAATGAGACCTCAGAGAGGCAGCAGAAGAAAGAAGTGAATGCACAACACCTCTCTCTTCCTCCAGCTCACTCGACTCTCAAACACATCTGTAACGTTTAAGACCGCCTCTTTCTTTCAAAGACAAATCTCTGCCAGAGGTTGGTGTTCTCCATCCAGCTGAGGTTTCATTACCCGAACCCGCTGCTCAGCCAGTGCCCTACATAGCACTACATACTTTGCCAGATTGAAACTCATTCGTCATCGCTCGGTTTTCCGATTTGCAAGTGACCCGAAACCTTCAAGGCTACCCGCAGACAACTAGAGAAGTTGCTCAGGAGCTGTGTACTGGCTATGCAGTGGTTTATTTTCTCTTTTCCCTTTTTCGACCGCCTTGGAGCCAGACTCTTTCTTGCTCCTCGGGCAGTTGGCTGTGCCCTCGCTGCCTCTTCCCTCCCGGGGACCGTGCCCAGGCGCAGTGCGCTCACTTGAAGAAAACGCAGCAATAAAATATTAAAACCCTTCCCTGCTCGGGGCTCCGCCGCTGAGATCTCTGCGCCGCCTGGCTGGCATCGAGCACCGCAACCCTCCGCGCTGGAGCAAAGCCGGAGCCGCGCCCGCACCGCGCCCGCGCCCGACCAGCCAGGCAGGGACCCTCCGGGCGCCGCAGCCCCCCGATCCCGAACCACCGCGACTTCCCCCGGGAGACCCCGACACGTGGGGGTCAGCTCTCCCCTCGGCACCAAAAGGTGGCAGCAGCCCCGGCTGCTTCACGGAGTGGGGGGAGCTGCTTCCACGCCGCGCTCCGGACGGGGCATCAGGCAGCCCTGTCCCGCCCCCACAACGCACAAAATGGAATTTGAACTGTGGCGGTGACAGAAACGAGTGAGAGGGGAAAGGGGGCAGCCCCCGTTTCTCTCCAGCTACACGATGCTTTGGGAAAGCAAGGGCTGGAGGATGGGGGGTGCACCTGTACTTTTAACTTGACACCGCCATGCATCCCCCGGGGGTGGGGACGAGCGGGACGGTACGGGGGCACGGACAGCACTTACTGAAGAAGATGTACTCGGTGTAGCTGCTCCAGATCTTGTCGTCCCTGTACTGGTTGATGAAGGCGGCGGTGCCGGTGGAGTTGCAAGCCACCATGTGGAAGCCCGCCTCGGAGAGCCGGTCGAAGGCTTGCTCCAGGTAGGTGAATTTGAGGTAGAAGCGGGAGGTGTACTTCTCGGGGGGGCGGTCGGGATCGCGGCTCTCATTGAGGGTCTCTCCGAAGACCTCCTTGGCCAGGGCGATCCTACCGCACACCATGATGCGGGCGACGCGGCGGAACTTGGCGTCCGCCTGGTTGTCCCGCACCGTGGTGTAGGAGCCGCGGTAGCCCACGGTGAGGAAGCCCGAGCGCTTGTCCAGCGCCGCCCGCTGAAGCCGGTCGCTGCTGCCCTGCGAATTGCTATCCTCCAGGTCGCTCTGGCAGCCCTCGTCGTTGAGCGAGCTCTGCTTGGTGACCTTGGGCGATAGCAGCTTCACCAGGTCGCCCAGCTGGAAATACTCAGCCTCCCGCAGGAGCCGCTCCTTCTCGGGGAAGTGCTCGGGCAGCGCCAGCTGCTTGTCCCGCAGGTAATCCAGCACGTACCTGAAGAGGAAGCCGTCGCGGTCGATGAAGAAGCGTGCCCGGCTGTCCCTGGGCAGCTGGCGGGCCGCCGCCGGGCCGCCCCGGCACGGGGAGAACATGGTGGCCAGCGTGCTGTCCGGGACGCTGAGCAGCGTGGAGTGCCTCGTCACATACACCTGGCCTCCCACGTTCAGCTCCACCACCTCGGGGAACGGCGAGCCCGACGGCCCCGATACCATGTCGCTGATGGGCAGGATGCTGCCGCCCGCCTCCTTCAAAGCCATGGCTGCGAGCGGGCGGCCGCGAAGGAGGGTCTCCCTCCTAAAAAAGCCAGCCTCCCTCCACCCCTCCTTCCCCTCCCCTCCCCTCCACCCACACCTCCCTTCCTCCTCCTCCTCCTCCTCCTCCTTCTCCTCTTTCTCCTCCTTCCCCCGCCGCCCGGCGCGCCCGGAAGCGCCTGGACGGAGCCGCTGCTCTGGCGCCCTCCGGCACGGCGGGCGGGCGGCACGACCCCTGGGACGGGCTGGGATGAGCTGGGCTGGGCTGGCCCGACCCGCCCCGAGGGCACCCCTGCCCCTGCTTCTGCCCCTGCCCCTGCCGCTCCTCCCGGCGGGGCCGCAGCCGCGCTGGGCTCGGGCTAGAGCGGCTGCCAGAGCCGGCTGCCACTTGGCAAAGCGCGCTCGTGCTGCCAGGCTCGGCTCAGGGAAGAGCGAAGCCCCTACCCCAGCTCCTCCCCTCGCCTCGGCTGGCTTGCTTAGCTTTGAAATTATTTATCCTCACTCTGAAATCTCCCAGCCGCCCCCAAATGTCTGTGCCTCTCTTACGTTGTCGCGTCGGTCAACACTTGCAGAGTGCTAGAATAATGGTCGTCCTTCCAAAAGTAGCATCCAGCGTTTTTCCCCATCTTGCGTCTATCAGCATGCCTTTACTGTGAGTGAAGGAAGCATTTAATTGAGGGCACAAAAGAAAGCCATGTTCAACTGTGCTGGTGGCACAAATCTAATGGGCCCTGGTGGGACACAAATGCTGTATTTGATGTCGTGAAGCTTTGCTGTGGCACGGCGCACTGGGATCTTCATTTTCAGAGAAGCTTGGCATGCTCACTAGTTTGACAATAGAATTGGGTTGATTCAGAGCAGAAAAAAAGTCAGCTGCCATTAGGATCCAGATAACAGACACTGATTTTGAACATGTTAGTGTTTGGATTCTTGACTGTGAAGCAACTAAATTTGTAGTAGAGTTTTTTAATCTTATTTGTTTCTACCGAGAGCCACAGCTCACCTGCATCCAGATTTTTGATGCATATACTTTCAGGCTGTGCTGATGGAATATATTATAGCCCAGACTTGTGCCTATATGTAGGATAAGAGATGTACAATTGCTCTTGCCAGTAAAATCTGAGACCTAAATCTGACTGCATTTCTCTGACTGCATCTTACTAGATCAGTGCTGGATCTAAATGTGACTGTTATGCTGGGTGGTTCATGCATGGGAACAATTTAGCTTTGTTTTTTTTATAACGCTCTAAATGTTAATGGTTCAACCCTTAATTGTGCCACACTGAGCCAGGAGCCCAACTTGTTCTTCATTTAAACAAGAGTCACTTCAGACCTGGGGGTAAAAATTATCATTTTGCAGGCAGATACAGCTGCAGTCTGTCACTTCCTCACTAGTGTACTGTGATCAAGATGAGGGGTCATCCAAAGCTTGATAAGGCCTTTTAAACCACTAGTGTAGACTTCTCTGCTTTAAAGCAGTAACATACACATCCACAGCACTTCATCCAGCCTCTCTTTCAAGGTGGGACAAATCTGTCCATGGTGCTACTTTCCTCCCTCCATTTGCTATACACTAAATCTGTGTTGAGAGAGAACTCCTCTAGCTTTTACATGATTAGTGTTAAGGGAGACACATCCACTAGCCACCCATTGGATCAGGAATTTTTGCCAGACTGAGAAAAGACTCCTGGACAACTAGATGTTGTTCTTCAAACATGAATTATGTGGGAGTGAAAGGGCTTGTCACAAAGAACAAATGTGCAGGAAAGATTTCTGCAGTGCATTTCCTTGACCACTTACTGAAACCAATTAATAGTTTTGAAAATGGAAATAACTGTAAAAAACTAAATAAAATTCTCTCCTTCCTTGTTTATTTTGTGTGAAATGCAGAAAACTCAAAGGTCAGAAAGGTCAGAAAAAACATTCAAAGGTCAGAAAAACCGTTGGAACTGCTAGGCAACAGGAAAGCCCAGCATCAATGTTTATTGACCATTTTGTCATGTGTTTCTCTAAGTTCAAATCCTTAAGACACGAGAGGAGATGGTTTTCATTGTCCTGTTCATTTCTGTAGGAGATATTATTTCTCCTGAGGACTCAGTTGAAAGGTTTCTGCTGATTTCTAAGAGGACAGATTTCATGTCCACCCTCTTCTGTGTAATATGGGATAATAGTTTGCCCATGTGTAGTACAACTCATGCCAGAGCATTACATGGCTGTGATGCTGCAGCATCACACTGATGAGCAGCACTGAGCTGCTCCCATGCCATATGTGGTGCCATTAGCAATGGGACAATTGCTTTTTTTTCTCCTCTTCAGAAGGCCTGGCCTCAGAAAAACTGTATCTTAAACCTTCTCTTTGGTGACTTGTGTTTCTAAGGATATGTAATCTAAGGATACATAGTTTGGCAAAACAGAGTGAGATCATTTATCACATAGAACTACCAGAGTTCGGCAGATTGCACAGAAGTCATCCATAAAGTAAATATTAATGTATTACTCAGGAAAAGAAGTTTCTTCTGAGGATTATCAGGTAAAGAAGGGAGAATCAGTGCTACATTCTTCCTAGTCTCAACATTGCCTGAGGCACTTGAAAAATCCTTTTACCAAATGCTTGCAGACCCTTCTGTATTAAGCTCCCATATGCTGCCTATTATTTGGTCAACTCATGGTTTCCTCTGTGAATAAGTATATATCAGGCCAATAACGTCTGTCTTTGAGTTGATGAAAATAACCCATAAAAATTCCAACGGTCATTTTTCTTGAGAATAGGCACAGAGAACATATTTGTGCTCTTTGGAGTAAGAAACATCTACTTACAGGTTTACATTGTGTGTAGTGCAGCAGCATCCTGGAGTGCTATTTGAGTGAAGTCTAAGGCCAGTACAATGAAAACAAGTAAATCTTTAGGTACATAACTAAATGTAAAGCGGAGGGGAAAAAACATCCGCAGATGAAAATCTACCTTGATCTGTTTCCTTATCTGTGGGAGTGTTTTGAGATAGGGCTGAAAAAGTCATGTTAGTGAGAATGTCTTTTGGAGGTTCCCTTAGGCAGGCACACAGTGCAAGCAGCAGGCGACAACACCAACTCCCCTTTTGGAAGCAGCCTGGAGGGGCACAGGCAGGACAAGTTCCTCAGATAAAAAATTTCTTTTCACTGTAGTCTTTCCTGCCCTGGAGTCAGTCAGTGTGCTGGTTTGGCCAGGCTATGTGATAAATCTAGACTTAAATGAGAGGATCATGCTGAGAGAGGGGGAAATGACAGAAAGGAAAGTCAGGAAGATCATCCAGACTACATCATGTAGATCACCCAGGTCATTCTTATAAAAAATTCATGTAGATAAAAGTATGCATTTACTGCTGCTCAGACTGTCCAGTTCTGAAATGGAAATTAGGATATCAGGAATTAATACATTTACTTGGCTTATTGCTCGGTCAGATTTTGAACTGATTTACCTAGCTAAAGATAACCTTTTTTCATTTAAAAAATGTTTCTGTATTCTCTTGTGAAGTTGTATTTGGTAAAATCTAGTAAATAGAACATTTAGCATTTCTGAGAAGGAGAGAGGTGGAAGCGAGAGTTTCCTTCCCAAGAGACTTGTTTTAAAGTCTCACACACTGCAGCATCATTTAAAAAAAAAATCATTCAGTAATACAATCCAAGGTGATTGGATAACATGAAATGAAGGATACATAACCACTTTTCAAATTATAATTGTAAAAAAAACCTTATTTCTCTATGAAATGAACAACCAAGTGGAAGATAATATGTAGGAGAAGAACAAATACTCATTAGGCACTTTAATTGGAGGTTCTTAGAGAGAGAATTATAAAAAAATTCTGTAATCCCAGCGAGTGAATAAATTAGGTTAACTTTTTTAATAAGGAGGAAATTCTTCTGGTAGGCTCCCAGTGAAGCCAAGGGGACTTGGTCCTTTGTCCTGAGTTGCAGCATGAGAGAGGAAGAGTAGCTCATCATGCAGAAAAAGTTCCAGATGATTACTATGAGCAGGTCTGCAATAATTGCACAAATCACCTAGTAAGAATTTAAGATGATTATGTTGTCTTTCAAAAAGTCATCAGCCCAAAAAACTGACATTAAAATTGTAGACGAGTTTGAGAAGCTGCCAGCAGAATCATATTTCTAAGGCTGCTGTACTCTGACTCAGTAAGCCTAGAAGTCTTGGCCACTTTCACAATTTCTTCTCTCCATTTGGTTGTCATTTCTGTCATTTTCACAGTTATTATTTTCCTGTTAAGAACTCTTAGATCTTACTTGTCCCTTTATATCTTATTCTT